CGCCTCTTTTAATAACCATTAGGCTAATCTGTTTACAACCCTCCTTTCCATTAACAGTAATTAGTGCCATGCCTTTTTACAAAGTGATTTTATCTCATTGTATTCTAAAAATAAAAGAATTATTATGTTGTAATCTGTTTATTTCTCTGAATAAAATAATTTCTAATGTATCTACACACGCCAAGAAATTATAGTTTGTTACGACAGTCAGGCAAGGACAAATGTTCAGAAAAATGAACTAAGATAAATAAACTTTGGTAATTTAAAGAAAAATTAATGTTTGTTTTTAATACTTTGCATGATTTTTTTTTTTTATTCATTGAGTTTTGAACCAGTTGATTCCATATTCAAAGAAATATGGTGACTTTCCAGCTTTAGTGGTGAATAAAGACCTTACATGCAACCCTCTGCATCATTTAAAAGTTACGAACTACATCCATCGCATAAAAAAATCCACAGTCCCTGGGAGGAATGAACCAACAGTATCTTTATTGAGACTTGATGGTATACGGTATTTTTTTCATATATGTAAAAATTGTTTGAAAACCATTTTTATAGTTGTAATAGATGTCCCATTCGTGTTTAAATATTAAAATAGTTTTGATAGAGTGTTTACAGGGGAGTATCACGTTGGGGGGCAGGATCTGACCCCCAAGCGTCTGTGGAAACATGGTAAGAATTCATTAACCAATGTAGGAATGAATTTAAGGTAGAAATGAAAGAAAAACATGGCAAATATTTTATCAACAGTTCTAGTGACATCTCAGAATATTGTAATGTTAAATTAAAGGCCCAACTGGACTATACAGTCCTACGCATAAACCCTTCCAGCCTGCTGAATCTCAGTAAGGGCTTATCAGCTAGTAAATCACTATTAACTGTATATCTCCCATTAACACGTCCACTGAGTTGAGTTTTGTCATTATTTATTGCCCCTCTGTATTCTTATCTAATGGCCCCAACTTTGAAGGATCAAATTTCTATAGAAGATACACTCACTAAATTTATCAATGTTTTTTTCTCCTTTCTTTTGTAAATGGGTCTGTGGCCCAATTGAATTGTGAAACTTAGCAATTATTTGTAAATATACTTTATAACATAAATTATGATAATTTTTTAAATTAATAATAAATAAAGTTCAATAGTTAAGTGTCACTGTTACTCATGTTACTGACTGAACCCCCCTCCCGGCTCGCTAAAAAACAAAAACAAAAAACTGTTCATAGATGAAACTTTTACTGCAAAGTGCAAGACTCTTAACTAAAATGACCAAGTAAGTATTAGCTCGACTATACTAAGAATGTGGTGAGTTGTCCTACTCACCTCGGTTTGCAAGTCGACGTCAGCGTCCATACTTTCAATTAATGTTTATGCGCCTATAACTTCTTTATTTCTTAAGGTATCAATTTCAAATATACATGTATATTCCTAATCATCATCCACATCATTTGATAAGGTGCAAAACTCTGAAACCAGTATTTCCAGAACTATATCCCATTGAACGTAAAATAATGTTATATTTTACTCTAACATCTTCATTTCATATTAAAGTGTTGACTTTAAACTTCAAACATGTGTTCCTCATCATCAACTACATCATATGTGACAATGTTGTTTTTTTACTCAAACACCAATTTTTCCAGAATTATCTCCCCATGAATTTTTTCCTCTCAAAAAATGTTACTTTTACTTTCTTTTTTATTTCTTAAGGTATCAACTTCTAACTTCAAATATATTTCCTTATCATGTGTGACAAGATTCATAACTGTAGCAGGAATATTTCCAGGATTATTTCCCCCATTAAACTTTTTTTTAAAATAAAAATTGATATTTTATAACTTTAAACAATAACATGGCAAGCTTCATTACTCTAGCATCAATATTTTCAGAATCATTATCCCTTTATACTTAGAATTTTCCTTATTAAATTCGGACTTCAACAAGAGCTGTCACACAAGATTAGTGACGATGCCCCCGAAAAAGTTTCTCAAGCATGCAGGACTGGTAGTATGAAAAGAAAATAGGATGAAAGTAACTAATTGCTTAATATTTTTTTTGTATTATTGTACCTATAATCTCTTATTGTGATAGTGTATAAGTGTAACCCTGACCTTTGAAGAAGGGACATGGTTCCTGGATACGACAGAATGTTGTCATGAGATAGACATTTGTGCCAAGTTATTTCAAAATCCCTCAATGCATGATAAAGTTACATACTGGACAGTCATGATTGTTGTGTAAGTTGGGACACACAAACGGACAGACGGACATAACCCTTTGCTGCGATACATTGTCATGATGTGGTAGGCATTTGTGCAAAAGTTATTATAAAAGTTTTCCATGCATGCCGGACATGAATGTGTATCTTCAAACTCTTCTAGAATGAATGAATACCTTCAAACTATAAGGATGACCTTAACCTTGAAGGTAGGGATAGGGGTCTTAGTCGCGACATGTCGTCTTGATGTGGAAGGTATTTATGCCTCGTTATGTTGTAATACTTTGATGCATGACAGTCCGGACATGAATGTGTGTAACTATAAACTCTAATTTTGATATAGTGAACTTCAAAATGGTAGTGTGACTTTGACCTTCGAGGTAGGGGCGTGATAAGTTGACGCGTAACACATCGTCTTGATGTGGAAGACATTTATCCCAAGTTATTTTAAAATTCTTCCATGCATGACAAAGTTACATTCCGGACACAATGTGTGAACCTATTAACTTTTATTGTGATAAAGTGAAACTTCAAAATTTTAGTGTGACCTCGACCTCTGAGGTAGGGACGTAATTCTTGGACGCGACACATCGTCTTGATGTGGTAGACATTAATGCCTAGTTATTTAAATATCATTCCATGCATGACAAAGTTATAGTCCGGATAGGAATGAAGTGGGGACGCACAGACAGACGGACGTCCAGACAGACAGAGGGACGGTGCGATTTTAATATGCCTCCCTTCGGCGGCATAAAAATGTTTTTTTATCAACACCTATATGGGATTAGATTTATAACTCATTAGTCCTGTATTTCTAGAATTATCTCCATTTCATTTTTGAATTAGGGATTTATTGAAAATTAATATATTTCTAACAATTATCTTTGTTATTATAAATGACATCAACTCTAGACTTAAGATAATTTTCCTTTGTCATTACTCACATCATGCATGACATGGTTTATAACTTTCCTTATTTCAAGAGATATTTCCTCTCTGAACTTAGAATTTTACTTTTAAAACTTTATTTACTTTTTGCTTGTATCATTTTGGTACCTTTTTTATAAAAAAAATCACATTCATCTCTTTCCCTACTAGATTGAATGATAAGCTTCAATAATGCTTTGAATCCATTATTATCATTACTAAACATTATTTTGCTCCTTCTGAAAAAAAAAAAGAATGTAAATCACTGAGGTATGATATGCCTTTAATATGAAAGTAATTTACAAAATCATTTTCATTGTGAGTTGTAAGTGATTAAAAACCTTTTTTACTGTAATCCAATTTGTATTTGTCTTCTTTACACTAAAAAGTTAAATATTAGTTTTTCTTTACATCTAAAATGTTTTCTAGTCTTCCAGCTTAAACTATACTTTCTTGAAACATGATAGGATCATAAAACATTCAATGGTGCTGCTATCAGTAATACAGTGACAAGCCGTGTAATTATAATTAAATGCTCATCACTGGCCAGAGATAGGAAATTTTGGGGGAAAACTGGAAATCTTGGGCTTGTGCGTAGGACTGTATAAAAGCCAGCAGATGGCGCTAGTGAGGGCAGGTTTCTTATTAATTTTATGCATGCTTCACTTCAGGGACCCTTTTTCAAAGATTTAAGATTAATTACCAAATGCATTTAAACAACACTTGGCATGTATGTAGGCATAGATATTCTTGATATAGATTGACCAAAATTATTCAAAATAAAACTTTGTTAAGTGTGTTTCTGGAAAAAAATACTGGCTGTCAAATTTGAAATTTGAATTTCCATGGGAGGAGCCAACTGATCATTACAGGTCATGAACCTTCAGTAGTAAACAGATGCACGTGGCAGTGTTTATTTCAGTGAGAGAGATTTGTAGCAGACGATATATATTTCAGGGAGGGAGATTTTTAGCAGACGACACATTGATAAGAAAAAACAATTACTTTTACTGATCTTACTTTATCAAAAAGTATTTATATCCAACAAATTTACAATAATCCATGAATCTATGATTTTTTTTAATTTCAAAGTACTGATTCAACTTGTATTTAAATGGTTTAAACTTCATGAAAACAGTAAATGTAACTTCCAGGTATATTTCATTTACACTATATTTTGTTGTAAATATCTTGTAGTCAAAATTACATTTCATAAATGTTTATCATTTGTATAAAATTTTTATATATTAATAGAATATTTTAAATTCCTGTCAAGATCATTTTTAGCAGTTTTTCTTAAAAGAAATGTCCCATGTAAGGCACATCCTTTGGATTTGGACATAGTTGTCTGACTTGATGAAAAACAACTGACTTCAAAAATAATATCTGGACAAGATGGCTTGATAATGTCTTTTAATTAATCTGATTAATCTTTGAGTTATATAAAACATCCATTAAACCTCTTCTGTGTAAAATCAGCTGTTTTGTTTACATTCTCTCTGCAGGTTAACACTGCATTCTATTTTAGCTCATGGTTTATAACAGACAGTTCTATTACGTCATACCAACTGTCCGTCTCAAATGAGATGTGCGCATACCGTGACCGAGAACATTCAGTACGCATTTTGATACCGTACCGAACGGACGTGGTTCGTTTATTAGACCGAGAGTTATAATCTCTATTCCTAGATTAACGCGGTTAATCTATTTTATTTCATATTTTCTGATAAATTAGATATTGTATTCTTACAGTATCAATTTAATTTCTTTTCTTGATATATATTTTGTTTATGCGAGGCATAAACTTCAGTTTTTTCTTTCGGCTTTGAGATTTTCATTCCATGTGCTTTTCAAGATGGCGGATGCCTCTACATCGGGAAGAAAAGTAATTAGTCAAGGAACATCTGGTTCGAACATGACTAAAGATGTCGATAAACAACCTGATAAATTGTTGTCGTCTAGTAAATCTGTTGCGTCCGAGGGTCGTAAAAATGAGTCTCGTGGTAAAGTGTCCACTCAGAAAAGTCAACCACCTGAGAAAATAAATGACGAAGTCATTAAAATTTTGCAAGAACTAAACACTAACGTAACAAAACAAGGTTCTAAACTTGAAAGTTTATCAAAAAGGGTAGACGATTTGTATGTTGAATATGATGAATATTGTTATCCTGACGACAGTTGTAATGATGGGTTTCTGACGGTCATAGCGTCTTGTCCAATGTCAGCGAGTCTGGTGAAGATTCCCAGCCACCACGCAAGAGGGTTTGTAATGAGAGTGACATATTTAGGAATTTGTGTGACAAATTTCAGAGTGCGGAAAAATGTGACACTGAAATAAATGACGATCTTGCTACTTTTTGTAAACAATTCTTTCCGCAATGGTATTGCTGAGGATTCTTTGTCAAACATTGTTAAAGAAATTCACAGACCCGTTAATTGTGAGTCATTGGTGAAAACTAAGGTGAACGGTTGCATATGGCGTTTGTTGAAACCCCAAATCACAGTCTGACGATGTGAAATTTCAAGCCATACAAAATGTTGTTGTGAAGGCTGCTATAAACATTTCCAAATTGTTGGATAAAGAAGGGGAAAAATTAGATACCCAGTCAATTGAATGGGGCACAAATGCCCTTGCTTTTGTTGGGCAGTCTAACAAACTCATTAACAACAAGAGGAAGGAATGCCATCGTTCGGATTTAGATCCACGATATTACCCTTTGACTTCTGCAAGCCTACCGTTTACAGAAAACCTGTATGGTGATGATATTAACAAAAGTGTGAAGGATATCCAGGACATAAGTAAAATTGGTAGAGATGTTGGAAGAAATCCTTCATTTAGGCCATTTGGTAGAAGACGTAGTGGTCGGCCAGGCATGTTTTCTCGTGGTACTGGCAGAGGTTATTTTAGGCCAGGTCATGGTTCTTCAGTCGTTCCACCACCAAAAAAACTCCCGTGTGGGGTACAAGAACAAGTAAATCAGGTCAGTAATATTTTTCAGGCAGGTAGATTGAAATTATTTGAAGAAAATTGGAGAAAATTGACAAGTGATGAAAATATATTAGACATAGTTAAGCATTGTCATATTGAATTTTTAGAAGGGCATGATCCTGTCAATTACGTATGTACAAGGAATAATTTCAGTGAAAATGAAAGTAAAATTATTGATCAAGAAATAAATAAAATGATTGATATGAATGTTTTGATTGAAGTTGATCATCATGAAAATGAATTTATTTCTCCAATTTTCTTAGTCAAAAAGAAGAATGACGAGTTTAGAATGATATTAAATCTTAAATTATTAAATGAGAGTATTGTTTATCATCATTTTAAAATGGAGACATTTGAGTCTGCCCTTAAACTGGTAAAACCTAATTGTTTCTTTGCAAGTGTAGAGACTTAAGACATGCATATTATTCAGTTCCCATAGCTACGGAACAACAAGTTAAGTTAAGATTTCAAAAAGATGGGAAATATTTTCATATGTATGCCTGCCTAATGGTATTTCTTGTGCCCCAAGAATTTTTACAAAGTTGATGAAGCCAGTTTATGCATCACTTCGCATGCTTGGACATGTTAATTCAGGGTTTATTGATGATTCTCTGCTTCTTGGAGATACATGTGATGAATGTCATCTGAATATTACAGATACAGTTAATTTGATGGGAAATTAGGGTTTATTGTTCATCCCAGAAATCTATTCTTATCCCAACTAATAAAATTACATTTTTGGGAAATGATATTGATTCCATCAATATGATTGTTACTTTACCGTTAGATAAAGTTCAAACAGTTGTCCAAGAATGCAAAGTGTTGTATAGACAGAAAAAGGAAAAAATTCAGCAAGTTGCGAGGGTTATAGGCCTTATGATTTCTACCTTTTCAGCTGTAGAAAATGGTCCTTTGTTTTATAGACAAATTGAGAATGAAAAAATTTTGGCTTTAAAGCAAAATAAAGGGAATTACAATGCATATATGATTATATCAGATGAAATGAAGGGAGAAACTTAAGTGGTGGATTGACAATCTAGCCACCGAAAAAAGACATATTAGTCATGGCAATCCAGATTTGACTATTACAACGGATGCAAGTTTAGTTGGCTGGGCAGGTATTTGTAATGGAACAAAAATAGGAGGTAGATGGACCTGTCTAGAATCTGTTTTTTCATATTAATGTTCTCGAATTGTTAGCAGTTTGCCATGCTGTCAAATCTTTTTGTTTGCACAAAAAAGACATTCATGTAAAAATTTATACAGATAATACTTGTGTTGTTTCTTATATCACAAATAAAGGTGGTATAAAATCTGAACTTTGTAATAAATATGCCAAAGAAATATGGCTTTGGTGTTTAAAGAAAAATATATGGCTTTCTGCTACACACATTCCTGTATTAGCAATGAGGCAGATTTTCAAAGTAGAAATTTCAATGAAAATGTTGAATGGCAACTTAACAAAAATATTTTTAAACAAATTGTGAAATTATTTGAAGTGCCAATAATTGACATGTTTGCCTCTAGATTGAATAAACAAGTTGATCGGTTGTTTCCTGGAAACCTGATCCAGAAGCGGAGGCAATTAATGCTTTTTTTCTTTGTGTTGGTCAGATGTATTAATTTATGCATTTCCTCCTTTCAGTTTAGTTGGTCGAACAGTACAGAAACTGAGAGAAGACAAAGGGGAAATGATACTGGTGGCACCTCTTTGGATAACACAGTATTGGTATCCAGCAGTAATGCAGTTGTTAATAGAAGTACCTTATGTTTTGAAAGTGACTACAGACACACTTATCTGTCAAATACAAAGAAAGTTCATCCACTAGTAGGTCATCTACACTTAATGGTATGTCGTTTGTCAGGGAATTGTTCCAAAGTAGACAGATTTCATCAGAGTCTACCGACATCATCATGGCATCGTGGAGACATTCCACCAAAAAACAATATTCATCGTATATCCACAAATGGGTGGAATTCTGTAGTAAAAGGAAAATTGATAAATTTCAAGTTACTGTAGACAATAATTATAAGTTTTTTGACAGATTTATTTCATTCTGGTTACAAGTATGATAGCCTAAATACAGCTAGAAGTGCATTATCTTCATTATGTATTACTGAAGATGGTTTTACAGCAGGTGCTCATCCTTTAGTGGTTAAATTTATGACAGGTGTGTTTAATTTATGTCCACCAAAAAGTAAATATAATGAAACTGGGATGTTCAAAGGTACTGTGTTATTTAAAGACATTGTCACCAGTAGATAGGTTGTCTTTGAAACAGCTAACTTGGAAGTTAGCTATGTTAATAGCTCTGACTCAAGCAAGTCGGTCTCATTCATTAAGTTTAATAACTATTGATGGTCTAAGGCAAGATCAGGATTCTATTACTGTACAATATTGCGGGTTATTAAAACAGTCCTAAGAAAAGGCAGAGATAATCCAGTTCTTCAATTGAAAAAATATACTCCAGATAGGAGGTTATGTGTGTATAGTGTTTTTCTTGAATACATAAACAGGACTAAACATATTCGAGAAGTGAGTCAAGACTTTTTGTCAGTTATATGAAACCACATAAAGCTGTTACTTCTACAACTATAAGTAGATGGCTAAAATCAGTTATGTTTTTATCAGCATTGACATTAAAAGATTTCAATCTCATAGTATAAGAGGAGCATCTGTATCAAGAGCTAAATGTTTGGAATTCCAATTAAAGAAATCATGAAAGTAGCAGGTTGGTCAAATGAAGCAACTTTTGCAAAATACTACGATAAACCTATTAAAGATAGTCTTTACGAAACTGCAGTGTTCACAGGATTGACGAATGAATCGTGTTGGTATGTGAATGTTTATTTTTTTCCGTTCATGCAAAAAATTTTTGCTATTTGCTTTAAAGTCTCATTTGAGACGGACAGTTGGTATGACGTAATAGAATCCCCCAAATAAACTAGACTTACCTTGAGTCGACGTTTGGTTGGGATTCTATGTAGTCATACAGCAACTGGAGGATCAAATGCCCGCCCATCCCTCCCTGAATGTGTGTGACACATTCTTTAATGCATTTTGCATTTAGTTTTTTATTTTATTGAAGCAAAAATTATTTTGCTTAATGCTTTAAATACTGAATGTTCTCGGGTCACGGTATGCGCACATCTCATTTGATCCCTCCAGTTGCTGTATGACTACATAGAATCCCAACCAAACGTCGACTCAAGGTAAGTCTAGTTTATTTGGGGGATTTTACACCACTGATTAGTCACACCCACAAATACTCGCTGCCGCGGCAGCGAATGTTGCCCCTTTAAGCTCTTAGAAAAGCTCTCCAAAAATAAAGGAACTTTATTTTACCTCTACAATAACATTATTATGTAACTGTTGATAATCACAATTAACTCTTTATAATTAGCCACCAAATTGTTCTTTTCTAGATTATTGCGCAATAACTGCTGGAAAACACATTAACACTTGGAATAATGACAATGTGATGACAACATGAAAGAAATGCTACAACAGCCCCTCTTGACTCCAACTGCATAACAAAACATTTTGCTCATTCTGAAATTATAAATTGCACAAACATTATTCTTTTTTAAGTGTTTCTAATCAAACAGTTGCCAGTAAATCTTCAGAGTCTGGCTTGTTTGTTTAATCAAGTGGTTACTGGTTCAAAGTTTTGTTAGCTACAAATTGTGGCTGCCATGTTTTCCAAAATCAAAGCACTGAAAGTACTGCAGGTAGAGTGAGGGCACAATTATAATCTTAGCCAGTACCGAAAATTAATTTATAAATCAGAAACCTCAAGGAATATAAATGACCTCAAATATGCAATTTTTAACAAAGAAGAAAAAATCCACTTAAATGATGCAGCTTATAACACTGAATTTCGTGTCCAACTTTAGGACTAGGTTCTAAATGACGACACGCAATAATTTAAGGTAACGGAGACCACTGATTACGCAGCAGCACTTTCTTGTCAAACATTAAAGTAACCTTCATTAACTTGTAAAACTTGCAATCAGGTCAGTTCCAAACTCAATGCCGGAAAAAATATTATCATTTTATGAACTAAGCAACATTGATATAAGAGATATATATTGTATATAGAGGTCTGTAAACATTTAAATACTTCATTCTAGGCACAAAAGAATGTAACTATGATAATATCATGAATATTATACAAAGTTTGTAAGCAGAAACATTTTACAACAATGTCATCACATGCTAAGTGAAGCAATCTCACTAATTATGCTCCCCTGCCTGGGAATCTCATCTCTAATTAAACACTCCATTATCCTATGAAACATAAATAAGTAATAACAGACATGTACTCATACCCCCTACATTATAAAATATGCTCCAAAATATTACATAATTTTCTCTACAGAGTCTCTAAATCTTATTAAATATTTATACATCAATTCTGGCTCAGGAGAACATAAATAATGTCATTTCCAATGTTTGTAAGAATGATAACATTTTGTGAAAATTAAAATACAATATATATGGTTTTTTGTCTTTGTTTTAAGTTTTAAATAGATTCCAATGACATGATTTAAACAAGACAGGACTGGAAAGTTTTTGAGATTGTGTACAATTTAATCATTAATGTAGAACTTGACCAATCAGCGCCTTGTCTGGTATATACCGGAGTAAGGTATTTTGTGTGGTGCTCCAACACTTTTTTAGACTCACTCATTTTACTTTGCCTCATGATCCATAATCTCTGATCTAAAAATAATATAATTTTTAAAGCCCGATGAACATTTCTAACAGCACATCATCAGGAACAAAAGTCTTGGGTTGGGTTAACAAAAATATCCACATATCATAAATTTATGATATTACACTAAAATTTATGCTTTAAAATTGCCATAAATAATATAATCTCTAATCAATGAACATAATCTCTAAACTAAAGTTAACACTGTTTGGTAGGTCTTGTACAAGTGGTTTTTGTTAGATATCACCTCAGTTGGCCTTTTTTTAATATACAGCACCCTATGTCATGATAATAAACTCATGTAATGGCCAATATAATCTTATCATCTACTCCAAGATATCTCAGAATCCCTGCAGTTTTCTTCTCTCAAGACATACAGATTGAAAAAAATGAAAAAAGTGGAATCCAAATATCCCCTGGAAAGGAAAAGACCCGTTGGAACAATGTTTCTTTTACACAGAATTTAATATTTTTGTTTGATTGTGTAGGAAACTTTAAGATGCACTCTTTAATCTGTTCTTGTAACCAACCAGTAATGAGCAATGAGTGTAAAGTTCCTTGCTCAAGGACACAGCAGCTTGCCTCTGATGTGGGGTTTGAGCCCCAAGTAGCCTGCATGGTTCTGTAACTAATTCAATATGTTAACCAATAACTACTCAACCACATCATAATTGACAATATTTGTCTGCAAGATATACTGAAAGTTTAGACATTTATTTTCTATCACCAATGCATGAAACCTAAACCCTAAGTTTGCTCCAGGTACATGTAGCAACAGATTCTACCTATGCAGTCAGTGCAGACCAAGATCATCTGGCACATCTGTGCCATCTTATCAGTGTCCCTACTGTTTGCTATTCAGCCAGTTGTTCATATCCAAATCGAGAATTTATGATATTTTGCATGTTATTATATAGGATTAACTCATAAAATTTCTAAAATAAACTTGTCCTGCTATCATATGGAATGCTCCATTGTCATTTAAAGGTTTCAATATCAAATAGCTAAATTAAGGCAGTTACCAGTAATTGTACAAATGTGAGGACAGTCCAGACATAGCTGCTTCTATTCTGGTAACATAGGTGTGTCTATTACTGTCTAATATAGTCTGAAATGAATTTAGTAATGCCATAGATTTATCAATTATTAACACTATATAAACAGAAATCAGGTATGTAAACACTGCAGCCTATATCACTGGAATAATATAAATAAATCCCCCTTGTTGGCGGAAATTAGTTTGGAGACATTTTCATAACTTTTCCCCTCAGGAAATCAACCAAATAAGGGATAATTATTTGTTATTATGAAAAGGTCAATCATAGCAGCCAACATTTTAATACCATTCTATTAATATAGAATGTGAAATAGTTCATGCAGCTTGCAATTTTAGGTACAGTAGACTTTGTTGACATGTGGTTTCTAAAAATAGAAATTAATTCACTGTAGTTGACCAAAAAAGGAAATCATTGCACAGATCGAAAGGGAAATCAATGAAGTGTAAGTTGTATAAAGGGAAGCTGAAAGTCAGTGAGTGCATTGTAGTTGATCAAAAGAGAAATAAATGCACAAAGTAGATCAAAAGGGGAATTAATACACTTTACCTAATATAAAGCTTAATAGTACACTGTAGCCAAAAGTGAAGCTAGAAAAAGCGACCTGTATTTGGCCAAAAGGGAAATATTAGTGCATTGTAGTTGGCCAAAAGGGAAATATTAGTGCATTGTAGTTGGCCAAAAGGGAAATAAGTGCATTGTACAGTACGCTCACCGCGGGTTTTGCTTTTTCCGCGATACCACCGCGGACGATTTTTTTTTATCGCGGACAAACGCGGGGGTTCGTATGCGATGAGAAGCCTAATTTCCCCGCGATCCCCGTTGTTCAGTTATTTCCACCGCAGACAAAATTCTGACGACCGTTCTTCATTTATCGATAAAATCAGTCACCCGTTTCCCGCGGGGGAACGCCATGGTCAGTTGGTCAGTATAAATTAACCTCCAAAAATAATAGACGTTTTATTATTTTTTAACGTCATCTTTTTTACACAATGACTTGAAAATTGACCACAATCGTCTCCTTAAATGTTATTATACGTTAAATTATTTGAACGGAATTTGAAATAAAAATAATTACAGCTGTACCTGATTTTGTTGTTGTTTTTAATATTTTTGTTATAAACGTCCACAAAACTATTCGTCCACATACCAATATTTTTACAACTGAAATCGTCATTTATCACTGTCATCTTTACTTGTTCATTCCTTGTGGTTCTATAAGTATTATTGCTGTTAAACTATATGGG